ATGGGAATCCTAGCGGTACAAAAATGTATCAATTCTGTAAATTTTAATTTTTAATATTGTCTCATCCAGTGATTTCCTTTAATTTATTCAAACCATATTCTCAATGTTTAATTTTCTCTAAATATAATGTCTTCTTTTTCATTCTTTCTGATTCAACAGACAGACATGAAATATGCCAACTTTTGAGGATTCAATATTATTTACATTATGAATGAATAATTCATTGGTTGATAATATAACTTGAAATGTTATTTAAACATTTTTTTCAATATAAAAATGTAAGTGGGTATGATTTTATGAAAATGAAAACAAAAAGACGTCGTCAGCACGTAGAAACAATTCAGTATTAAAGTATCATATTTATTAATAGAAAAAGAAAATAGATAGTTTTATCATAAGGAAAACATATTTTATAATAGTAAATTATTTCTTTTTTTCATACACTTTCACTTGTATATTAGTGATGATGGCATAAATTTTATATGATTTATCTATTGATACAAATCAGTAGTAGTACGCTAAATCAATTAAAAAATGAATCAGATTATATGGATTAAAAAATAAGTTGAGATTGTGTTGGAGATCGATCCCGTGAAAACTAGAGATAATTAAGTAGCTATTTAAGTCAACATTGAAAACTATTTGAAAGTATTGACTCGTGACTTCTAACGAGATTGAACTTCGTAGTGATCGTGATATCGCTTTAGAATGTACCTTTAATTAACCTAAATTTGTCTCACATAGAATCAAATTGATTAAAAATAACATGATATTGACATAAACAGTCCTATTTGAAGTTTGAGTGAATTAAATACTTGCCTGTCCTTCCATACTATTTGGACTTGTATTAACTTGATCAAGTTATTTATTTATACTGAAAAAAAGTACCTTACACTAAGTTATGGAATGTCAGAAATTCTAATTTTTACCCAAAGATAACAAAGATACATCATCACTTTATTACAAAAAATTCTATCCAATTCCGAATTTACTTGAAATTAGCAAGTTTAACCTTGATAATGATACTCACTAAACGTGCCAAGTTCCATCGCCGTAGGAGTCATAGCTAAGTACTATCACCAAGTTATTTAGCTGAAGTCAGTATGTAACGAAAATTTTCTCGAAATTTGAATAGTCCCTACGAACAACCGAAACAAAACTAAGTCCTTTTTTTAAAATTAATAGGTTTTGTAAACTCAAATAATTTTCTTTACGAAATTAAGTAACCAAGTGTCAATTCGTATTAACATTTCAATCAAATTATCCACTTCCAGAAACGAATTCTGTTGAGAGAGAGATTGAACCTCCGACTATTACTCAAAAGTTCAAAGTTCAGCTGTTTAACCCAACACTCCTTAGAAGAACTGTATTTCTTACGTTTCATGGTTTAATGTAAGCTACATCTTCAGAGCAAATAAATAACCGAATTAAATTAACATAAGTTTCGATTCATTAATGATACTTAGAAAAAGTGGAAAGGATTTAGGTTAAATTTAAAGTTAGTCAACAAAGAAACTGACAATTGATCACTTTAGGAGATGGAAAAACAGAAGATTTTTCAAACAGCGAAGAGATATGATTCTGTCGTTTTTTTCGTTTATTATTGATCATGATCAGTTCACTAAAAAAAATGTCTATTGAATCGATACTAAGAGTCCAGAGAAATATCCAATCAAAATCAAGAATACTAGAAACATCAACTTTTCACAAACACGAACCGAAATATTTCTAATTAGATATGTAAATTTTTAGTTAATCGAATGCATAACAATATGTTAAACGTGAATATCCTATAAATTATGTGATAGCAAGAGTTTAGAATTAACTTCATAATGCATTCTCATATGAAAATAATTCTTTATTCTCGAATATTTAGCTTAACCCTTATTAATCAATGAAGAAATTCCAGAATTAGTTGCAATAGTTTCGTTTCTCAGTACACTACAATTTGCGAAAAATTATTAGACAGCTAGAAATATTACAACTGCATAAGCGAATATCTAGCGGTTCGTTAAACTCATCAAACTAAGTTACACATAAAAATAGTTCGTCCTACTATATTGCCTAGGACTGTTATTGATTAAAAAACACTTAATGATACTGAATTATAACCAAATTGAGACATAGTATCACCACTATATAAGATTACTAAATCTAAACCTTAGTTCGTACGGAATAGTCAAGATCAGAAAGAGGAAAATACGGGTTACTGTTCAATAAACTAGGCAACATACCTAAAAGCCGGTCCCGATGTCCCAGTCTCATTTTTTTCTAACATTTCTTCAAGTCCTGAACAATACATTATTTCATATTTTTCATTTTCCCCATTTACGTGACTTATTTGCAATTCACTTTAACTGTTTAGCTATACATGTTGTTAATTTTCACTCTCAATCAAGTGGTGTTATTCGTGACCTCTAGGACCTAAGCTAAATTATGTCCTACAATGTTCACTTCTGTTCGGTGTGATATAGTTAGTCAGTCAGCTACAAAGTAGGGCCAGGCATATATATTCATCAGTCCAAGTTGCCATACATCATTGACACAGTAAGATGAACACCGAATTCATAGAAGTAGTTAATTCAGTGGTGGTGATATATAAAAAAAAGATTGCATATAAGGACATAGTACAGAAAGAAAGAGTTAGTTCGTAGAAAGAAAGATATGAGGCAAATTTAATCTCATAGTTCAAGGGAACACAAAGGGTGTATACACCGATGCCATTGTTATCGATTATGAGCCATGTCACCAAGAGTCTACAACCATTGGTTACGGTAGTCATGTAGACCCTAACCAAGTAGTCTGAATAGACTAACATGAATCGGATCAGAAGTTAGTGACTTCAAGGACTGATGCCAAGTTCTGCTTTGGCCACCCCTAACTTTCTCCCAACAATCCCCAACACTAGTCAGCATTGTGCGTCATGGTAATCGGTGTTCAGGCATCCGCAACACGTGACCCGACCATATCAGTCGATGAAGATTCACAACCTCATCAACTGATTAACCATCATTCTCTAATACCCTACGTCTAACCTCGCTATTACTTACCCGGTGATCCCAGCAGATGCGAGCAATATTTCTAAGGCATCGGTGTGGTATAGACTTCAATGATTTTTATTCAAGATGTAATTTTAGGGGAAAAGACATCCATAACAATATCAAGCTAACTGACTTTAATACATTTTCGTGATTTTTCGAAACTGCCAGTACGCTAATATGAGAAATGAGTTGTTTCCTTCTTATGATATGAAATTAATCGTATTTCGTCAAACCATTTTTACACTGCAGACGAAAGTGAATTCGATCAAACAGGTAAATTGTAACTATCTTTAATGCACAGTAATCGAATTATATATTTTTGTATTATATAAAGACAATTGTTCTATTTTCTAAATAAAGAAGTACAACACTGAGTAATTACAATAATTCCAGATGATGACTTGTAATATATAAGTGCTAATGTGGTGTGGCAACTCGAACTGATGTACGTACGTACGAAGTTCTACGTTGTTACTGACTGACTGACTGAAGTACTTAATTAATACTTAAAATAAAACAGAAATAATACTTTTTTCATTCTATGCATAATCCTTGTTATAAAGATGAAAACGATTTTATAAGATCAAATACAACTGATTGACTATCAAACGATTGTTGTTAATATTCATTACAAAAAAGAACAGTACGTACCAACTAACTAATAAGAAACAACTTTTTCCAGCTACATTCTTTGGATGCAGAATTCTCTGATTCCACATAAGATGTTAATTTTTATCATGTATTCTATGATATCACTAGAAGGGCATGATAGACTATCAAATACAAAAAAACTATCATTATTAATCGTCACATAGATTGATACTGAAACTTTCAAGGTTGTCAGATAAAATTTCTACAACTTTTACCATTTTCAAGTGACCTTCAGGAGATGAGCGTCAATCTTATTTCTGTTTTGTTTCTCAGTATTATTATAATTAATTGTGTCAATAAAAATTTCGTATTCTGTGACTTAATGGCATAGATTATTATTGATTGATTTTATTGTTTAAATTCTATACAACAAGATTATTAAGTAGCATTAGGCAGAACTTATGAACTGATAACACTGAATACAAGCATGACTTGTATACTGTTGTCATTATTACTACTACCATATATATTAACCCCCGCCAGCCGGTTCATTTAACTCTAGTGTAATTACTATATTACTAACAATATTTCTAAATATTTCTCGTAAATAATCTTGATTGTATTGAAGAAAACATGATAAGAAATTACCGAAAATGATACACTTGTATGTTGTTAGCTAATTATCAGAATACAAATAGTTGATCAATTACAGTACAAGTATAATTGCATTGAGTGAAGATTAATTTAAAAGTTAAATTTAGTGTAAATCAGTGATGTAGCATAAGTTTGAGTATAATCAACTATCAAGAGTGATGATAATGTCATTACCATTTAAAGGGTAAGATTGTCAGGCGCCTGTGAATTAATGAAGCAGTTCACTTTTAAACAAATTAAGCGTTTATGATTTTGTTCGGAAAGATAATTAGTTTGATAATTAAACTATCCAGCTAATAGGATCCAACAAAACCAAAAAAATGATAAAACTATTTGTTTGACAGGACTGAATGACTATCATTACCAAAACACTGCTTCTATGACTGCATTGGATAGTAAAGATGAGCTCATGCCCATATTTTAACATTATTTCAAAAGTAGTTATCAGATATTTATTTCAAGATAATAAGCAAAATAAGATCCAAAAATGTGTCACATATTAAGGTCAGTTATTTGGGGATTTTTTTCTCAAGATCAGACTTGAAGAAGTATAATATTTATAATAACAATACAAAATATTGCTAATAGGGATGAACATTCTAGATTAGTATTTTGAATTCTGAATATGTAGTAGTTCAAATGTTGTCTTCTCGAGAATTAATGGATAGCAAGATATATAATTTAAATAGTCGTATTAATAATTATTACACTTACTTTCACATGTACCCATTGAGTAGTAAGTTCAGGAATACTCAAAAGCACACTTAGCAGTCGTGTGAACAATTCTTCAGAATTTAAAAGCTCTTCTCTAAAACAATAATAACAATGATATATACAGTAATCTCACCATATAATCATTAGAAAAAACAGTTGATCTTATCATAATTTCTACATAAAATTGGAAAAAATGAGACTGCTTAAACTAAACCGAAATTATAATCTGCTTTCAATATATGGTGTAATTCAACAGGTTACTGATTATATTAGGATGGTCTTCATGTCTCAGGGCAGGATTATTTAATTGCAAGACTTTTGTTATTTTACTAAACAAAATTAACTGATAGATAAATATAGGTGTAATTCATCATCCAAGACCTTTAATCACATAGTAATTCGTCAGATTAAATAAAACGATCAAAATGAATCCAAATTTACAAGAAACCTGTGAAGATAGCCAACCACAAACATGGTTATTGGAACTGACGAACTTCATATTAGCAAAATAATGTTAAAAAGTTCGATTGATGATGTATATAATGGTAATGAAATCTTTACAATTAAACCATCACGTTCATAAAAATAAGCACTACCAGAACAATCCAGCTGAACGACAAGTCCTTTCTAACAAACTGTTATATTCAAATTCGAACTACGATTTCCAACAACCAGTATATTAAATATTCTACTAATAGTGGCCTAACAGCTCAAGGTGATGAGAGTCTAATAGAATAACTGATAAAAGATTTTACAAAATAATAAAACACTTCCGACTTTTGAATTCACACGCCGATACGTTTTGTATTGTATCATAACGACTGGGTGAATGATGCTCTAGTAACTTGTCACTTAGTTTCATCCACAATTATTTATTAAATTATAGGTCTTTTGGAAAGGGTTTGTTTGTTTGATGATCTTTTACAGATGTATTCGTTCTTCGCTTTCTGGGTTACGACTAAGGTATTTAATGTCGTTTCACTGTGTCGCCTAAATAGGTAACTATTTATGTCAATTGCATATTTGATCGCAACTTACTGATACATATTATGATTAAAGAGATAAAAAGCTCCTAGCAGATCAATAAACAGATAGTAGGAATTTCTAAGAAAACATAAATCGAATCAAACGATTTTGTAGTAAACCAAGCAATGCAACAATAATTATGATAGGTCCTACTACCATTGGAAGCTGAATTATGGACACAGTTATTCATAAACCGTACTAATGAACAGAACGTAAAGTATACCTATTCCATGGATCACACACTAAGCTTAGAGCAATGATATGGTGGAAAGACAATCGACTGAGTCAGAAGTTTTAAACTTCTACTTCCATCGAATTTAACGGCTGAGTGAAATTACCACGTCCCATTTAGATTACATTTGAGTGCATAAACATGTAGATGTCTAATGAGCAGCACCCAAGATAAAAGCTAGAATTCAGGTAAAGAAATCAAATACTTATATAAACCAGAGGTTGTAATCATTTTAGCAACAAGGTAGGTTGTCTTATTAGATATTCCTGTACTGTAAACAATAACCAATACTGAAGATAATCTCGAACAGACGAAAACTTGCTTAAAATAATGATTAAAGTGATAATATAGGATAAAATACACATTGTTCAGAAGTTTATCTTTAAAGGTCACCTTGTTTATAGTCCTACTAATATGACGTAAGACTGAAAAGTATTTTTTAGTAGATCACACAAAAGCAACCAAGATAAACTCCATCCAGCCATGTGCATTTAAGTATCTACCAAAGATTGGACAAAAACCACAACTGGAAGTACATTAATTACTGCTTCGAACGTTTTCATAAAACATAACTGTGTAGTTATTTTGACTCAAGGTCAGTGAAAGCACTTGATCACAACAATCTGATTAACTTGGTGAATGAAGTTACTCTTGGGTTTTAAAACTGTTAGATGTTTTCGTATTTGTTTTTCACGAAGTTCAGCTGAGAACTGGATGAATACAGGAACTATAATTTTACGAGCTTGTTGACTAGATCATATCCTTTAGTAGTATTACATCTAACTTTTAAAGTCCAACCAATATCACAGCTGATTCGGAAACTTTATACCAAATAACTGCGAAGTAGGTATTTTTTGCGACTTTCGCTAGCCACTTTAAGCGGAGCGCAAATATATGAAGCAGTTCCAGCAATTGATTACTGCCCCTAACCAAACCCCTAGGTAAGTTAGATAACTATCTGAATAATTCAAAAGCACTAAAATTTTGGATACTTCCACGAGCGATCTCTATGGTAGTGGTATGGAATAAAGCGTACCCAAAAACATTCGACTTCGGAGTCAAATTGCAATGATCACTTAAAGTCGCTGAAACATTTTTGACAACTGTCGATCGACGTTCGTGTCCCCTTTGATTTCAAGAGTTAGAACATAAGCACTTAAATTTTGAATTCCGAAACAATCAATGTTATTGAATAAGTATTGGATATCGATATTTACTTGGTAAATGGATACTTACAATGCTCTTGAGTCTTCTTCACTGGTATTTAGCTGATTCTTATCTAGAGCAAAAAATAAATTGCCATTGACAAAGTTATTTACGGTGTGGAAAGCAATTAAAGAAACATTTAGCTTAATATGATACGGTAATTGCGTAGAAAAATTATTTGTCACATGACACGACGCCAAACGACCTCAAACAAGCTAGTTAGAACTCCAGTTAAACTCCTGTTTTAAAAATGAGACCACTTAACACATCTAATTCTTCCAACAATTTAGTAATGCGTATCACAAATTTTATCACCAGAATACGCTACATACAAGCCAGCGTTGAAGTTTATTTTGACATATGTCTAAGATTTTGTGAAGTTAATTATATTCGTAATTCATAAATCCTTCGTAACAAACGATGAAACAAGATTTAGAGTTATAGGTGTTTTTGGTTCTCAGCCAACTTGAACGAAACCCGCATACACGTCTACGTAAAATCCATATTCCTACAACAACAAAAAGTTCATTTACTTTTAAGACATTTAGAATGAGATTTTACATTGGATTTAATAGTTGATAATTACGCTATTTGCAGAGATAACATAAAAAAGTCTGTGCAATTTATAAGCAGCGTAGAATACTGTGAAGAGATACTTTGACAGCATTAAACGAACAGTTACTGAGGAAAATGGATGACACATGAACAATTACAACGTACTTACTTGCAATGACGACATCACTGACCAACTTGATATCAGCAAGATCCTGTGGACTGTCTAGCTGAATACATTTGAGGTGGAACTGTTCGCATAAATAATATGCGATTAAAAGTCTACTAATAGAAACAGTACTTTATAGTAATTACTTTGAAGTCCTGTTATGAAGACTATTAGGGTGGTGGGGATAAAAAATAGGAACGAGGCATTTCTCGCCGTTATACTAGAAAATTATTCGGAGCACATAGTTCTTACTTCAGTAAGAATGAAAAACTTCTGATCTTCGGAGATATTTAAGCGAGAGCATACATAATGCAAATCTGAGATATTATGTACCAGCACCTGTGAGCAAAAAATAACGTGAGATATAATTATACTTTGCGACCACAATCAAACAGTTTTCCACTGGGCAAGCGAATACATTTTGGTGGTATACTTCCTGATTTTCTGATAGTTAAGCCACCCATTCTTCTAAGATTTCATAACCCGCGCAAAGAATACCAGCCTAGACACGAAATTTAACTAGAACATCTAAACAAATTTAAGTGCTTCTGGGAATATGACACATATAAATTTCGTAGATTGGTGACGAGGGATGTTTTAAATCTTCAATCTCATGCAAAGTGATTTCGTTACGTGCTACAGTTTTGTCCTACACACGTCACAAACTGAATTTACAATATTTTTAGGTTAACACATTGTAAGTGAAGACACAATATAGCAGAATGGACTAGCCGCCCGTTGAACCAGTTCAAGTGACTGCCCTGGAGTACTTCAAGAGAAAACTTGACACATTCTTAAGCAGTAAGGACAGTATTTTACTATGATTTTCCAACTTTTTCCTCTTTTATTGTTAATATTTTAAATTCCTGCCTGATGGCATCAAAGATCTATTGCTACTAGATACGAAAGTCCGTCAAGCGAGATATTCTTTTATTCTGTATAGAAACATTTGAACCATTAAGACGTGATTGTATTCTAGTTTTTATAATCTTTATCAGTTGCTGTCAGACACCCAAAGTTTCAAACACTGCCTAGCAGAAATAGTAAGGTTTTTCTGGACCTGAGTTTTAGTGATAAACAAGAGACTTTCGTTTAAAAAATGTATGGAGTTTTTTCTTTAAGTAAAGGGAATGTCGTGAATTTTCTCACAATTGTCCATTTCTGTTAGTGAGATTTGACGTCTATGCTTTGGCAAACTATAAACGTTCACACGTACTGTTGTGTGTTGGTTTTTGTTCTCTAGCTTTGAGGAATATATTCAGCAGTGTGGTTAGAGGTCAAACCGTAATAACAATCAAATAAGATTAGTAGTGATGTTTCCGGGTAAAATGTTTCATGGTTACGCCTCTTCATCTTACTACGCTGCATAAATCATGAGTTCCTTAAAGGTAGACAAATGTGAGAATGTTTGAAAATGGTTACTGCAAATGTTTACTATCATATGTTCTTAAGCTGAATGTAAGATGCTGCATTTCATCACTGACTTGGTCATATTTAAACAACTAAATGAAGAAAGTAAACATGTGCTTTTTGGCACCTGATCTTGAGGGATTATGGTCTACTTCGTTATTAGCACTATTATAACAACAGTCCTAAAATTGTAGATATGCCAGAATGTGAGAACATAATCTATAAGATCACACATGAAAGTCACTTCATTGTCTATTTTGAGTCGTCGTATCGTAACAATCTGAGATATAACGTTTGGCGTTTGTAAAGAACACATTTGAGCTAAAGATAGAACAATGTGAGAAAAGACAAGTTGTACATAATGACAATGTCTGCAAGGCTGAGCCAAGCCATCTAATTTATTGAATAAATATTCCCACGTTCACCATTATATGCCTTCCCTTCGTGTTAAGTGTTGAACTTTTATTTTCCTAGTTATTTCACGTTTAGCTTTGAGGATTGTGTGTTTATGTCCTATACCACTACAACCTCTCTTACTAAGTAACCTTAATCATGATTTTACTAGTATATGATAACCTAGCTTTTGTTTTCTATACCGGCGTTCTTCTAGGTAATGTATCTGCTTTGAGCATTGAGTAGTCGAGATGTGCTTCCTGTGATGCCTTGCTTTTTTTCAACATTACTGAATGATGATTAGAGTCTATCTATAACAGCCATATGAAACTCACTCCCATAAACAATGAGTCAAGCCCGAAACTACAGTGATTCTGTTCAAATAAGAGAGTTTCGAGTAAGGGTCGCTAAATCTATCGAACAGATTGCGATGATCTATGATCATGCCAGTGAATGCGTAAGGCACAAAACGTTTTTGTACCAATATCTCTCCAAAACATTCTGGTTCATGAAACGGAACGTAACGATTGGCTCATAAGGCAGTCCACCGGACGCAAGTAATTGCTGTCCTTGACCCTGGAGAGGATTAGTAAGCTATTTGATACACAGAAGCTCGCTCACCGAATTATTTGACTAGGTTCTAATGTCATCTCATTGGCTCCACAGATCTTACTAAACCATTAACTCACCAAAGTTAATTCATTGGCAACTGCACAGTTTTGGGTCAGTGAAATCATTCCGATGAGCTCATCAGTAATCACACACTACGGTTCTGCTATTTTAGACACCAGAAAGTCTTCTTTTGAAACTGTTCTAAACAGAATTAGAACTAATGCAAAAGTCTCTTTTTATATATCTCACTGCATAGTGAACCACACCAAATGATCAATCTTTTACTGCTATTCCTCTTGTTCTGGTGCTAACAGTAGTGATCAGCTGCGCTATTACTGATAGTTCAGCTATTTACGTCTAATGACTGTTAAAAACATTTTAAGCTCGTGAAGACGCAGTCTTAAAATGGTATTACGAATCCCATTTAAAATACGATTTAAAATAGTTCCATTTAAAAACTCGAATTCGGAGCACGCTGAAAGAATTTATGTGCATATGGTTTTTAAATCTATGGTGCTTGATCCATGAAACTGTGTATTTATTGAAAAATACACTACCTGGTAGAGCACTCTAGTGCTTGTTATTATGTTATGCCCATAGATCTTATTCTAGCTTTTGGACAGCCCAATCTATTCATTCTACTCGAGTCACATTCTGACCTTGTTATTTATTCGCTTATCAGTCTTTGTTCTATTTATATGGGCACGCAGGCGTGTGTACACTTCTTATCTCATTACTCATCACATGTCTGTAACTTATTTTTGTGTAACTATAAATATTGATTAACGCTTGGTTAGACGGGAGTTGGCTTACCCGTCATCTCCACTGCATGCCGTTTCGCTGCTCTTTATTCTACTCGCTACATATACAAAATATATATATTCAAAAGTCTATTTTCGTTATTTGACTTATTTAATTCCATTATTATTATTATTTGATGATGATAATCGGTATGAATGATTGTAAGTATTTTGCTTCGATGATCTGTCTTTGATTTGGACAAACGTGTGAATATGTTAAATTATGGTCTATGTCGATATTAGTACTACTCTAATAATAGACTTAATCCTAAAATTGTAGATTTGTCATTATGTAATTGATTAATTTATAAGATCTTGCTTGGAAGTCACATCATTGTCTATACCAACTAATCGCAACGTCACAATCACTTATATATGATGGAGAACAAACTTAGGCTAGAAATAGAACGATATATTTAATATTAATAAAAGATATAAGACAACACTCAAGAGTGACCACGCCTGCAAGTTCAAGCCATGCCATCCAACTAACTGAATTTATTCTTCCAGCCTATTCCATTTTTGGTTTTTCTCCTTGTTAAATGTTAACTAACTATTTTCCCACTAGTCTCGTGTTTGGCTTCGAGGGTTGTGTAGCTAGGGCCCAATGCCTCTACAACTAATTAAAGCGCGCACTAAGAAATGTATTTACTTGTTAAAACTGGTCAACAGATTTCAAGAATAAACAATAATAATATAATTCCAATTATGTTGGAATCATTTGATAATAAATCCTTCTACAGTACACAGTTAAATGAATAGAGCATAAAAATGTCTTAAGGATCAAGTGAGTAAAGATGGCATTAACCTGTATATAATCGCTATTTAAATAAATAAATAATATACTAAATAAAATATCTGTCATAAAATCTTTTTATTAAAGTAATTTATGTAGGGAAATTATTCATTTTCAAATAGGTTTAATCACAAGATAAAACCAAGTGAAGAATCGTTTAATACTAAAATGCACTGAATTTATGTTTTGTTTTAATGCAAAACCTTAAGTGGCCATGTCTGACTCCAGTTATATCATATGAACGATTTATATCTGGTTATTTATGTCACAAATCCTTGTATATAATCATTGACTTAACTCGCATAATTCAATAACGGAATTTAATAAGTTAAATATGGGAATGGATTTCGAATACTTATATTTCATACAATCATTGATATAGACTGACGATCAAAGAAAAAAAGCAAAGGGAAGAAGACAAAGCAAAACGAAATGATGCACGGTGGTGAACGTGTGTGATCCAACTCGATTTAGCCAAGTGTGAGTCGGTATTTATAGTCAGACCAAAAATAAGTTACAGATATCTGATGGGTAAGGTATGAAATGCACATGCATACACTTACATAAAAACAGTCAAGGTTTATAAGCAAATAAGTGACAGGGTAAATATGTGGTTTGAGAACAATGAATAAATTGATCTTTCCATAGGCTAGTATAAGCTGTGGGCTTGACATAGGGCCAAACACTACAAACCCTTCGTCAGTGCAAATCTACTGTCATATTTGGAATAGAGCCCAAGAAATTAATGTCAAGGAATCGGTGCTACAACTTTAGGTAGTTTGGTCAAAATTCAGCAGAATGCATTACGAAATCCAGTATATTTTATATACTGCATACTGATTAGTCTTATTAAGTTTTAAATGGATAAATGACTGAATTTCACTAATCATAGCTTTTCATTGAAATTCCTCATATCTCATCAAAAAGCATTTTGATCACAGCAGAGTTATTTACACAGTTTTGGGTTATGCTCACTTGTTTGGGAAAAACTGATATTTTACTAACCACCAAATTATAATATTTTAATTATGATTGACAAAAGTTAAGTCGTAAACTAATTGACTGTAAAACACGAAGTGTTACTTAAATATTGTACAGTAGTAAAAAACTGTGAATTAAATAATTCACCATATACTGTGATGAATAAATGATCAATTGATGAACATTGATGTATAGTGTTAACCATCAGTGCTGTTCACAACAATATAAACAATGGAAACAATCATCAGATTTTGGACAACTAACCTACGTTTACACAGTGAAAAGAAAATTACATTAATTTTCCTCATTAGTTAACTTTTATTATCATCAATAAATCTGTATTATGCAAAAGGGGATAAAATTCACTTAAATTCTCAGAAATAAAACACCCGTCATTTTGTCAATACGAATTATTTGACACATCCGCACCTAATTAATCAGCTTATCAGTTGAAGGTAGCCTAATCTTTCGATACATACAACAGAATATTGTGATAACATTAAGTTATTCTTATGTAGAGCAGAATGAATATAGTAAAATGTTTGAAACTAGACTGAGTATCAGTTTGA